AGATCGAGAGTCTTAAGAGTACATACAAAAGAGAATGCAATAACACTTTCTTAATTGAACGCGATTTAAGGCAGGTGGCGGGGAATTACCGAGACTAGATGTCGGTAACGTCAGCTTAAGGGAATTCGAGGAAAAAAATATCGAATCAAGGATAATTTCTGTTGGATAGTTGGTATCTGATTAACAAAATCCGATGTGAAACATATGCAATTGACGGGTCAGAGGGCAGGGCTGTAAAAATAACGCAAACCATAAACTATAAACGTTTAGATATAAATCTACTCGTTTCCATTTTTAGATTTGCTAGAAAAATTCATTAAAATTGATATACTTTTTCGTAAGTTAATATTTCGAATATAAAATGTAAAGATCATCGGCTCCTGTAGACCTCCGATTAGTCGGATATAATAAAATATATAAAATTTGCTCAACTTTATAATTTCGTTGTGATGGTCAGTACAATTTTTTCGATTAAATTCAGCTCGATGCTTCCAATGCCCACTAATAGAAGTGGTTAAAAGTAATGGCATCAGAAGGGTTAAAGTGATACGAGAAAGAGCTAAAGAATGAAATTAATTTAAAAAATTATACTGACCTGTCCATACTTATGCATACCAGAATGAAAGATGATAAGTACAGACCGAACATTCTAAAGAAAGCCATGATTCGACACATGGCGTCTCCTGCTTTCCAGGAAACAGTAATCGCCCAACCAATCTCGAGTGGCATTATTAAAAAAGTAACCTGGAAATCGTTTTTATTTGTTCAGTTATATTCTACGTAACAAGGTGCACAAATGAAAAAAACAAGTTTATTATTTCCACGGAGTGTTTAAGAGAACTAAGCTCGGTATTTCGGGGTCGAAAAATCGTGAATTGTTCCTTTTTTTTCAAAATTTTTCAAAATTCGCAAAAATGAAGAATTACATAAATTAATTTTGAACGTGTACTTCTAAAAATTTCTATTTCTCAAAAATTCAGAGTATGAAAATTTGAAGAAACTGAGATTATTCAATTGGCCGAAAATTTTATGGCCGTATAATGAAAAAACATTATACAACTCGCAAACTCTTCATACTCCTCCTAGTCTGTCGAAGCCTTCTTAATACAAAAACAAAGTTTCCCCTTGTAGGAGTTGCACCAGGTCTGTATTACTGTACGGCCATCAACTAGAGTGAAACACCCGTAACCGCAGAGATAGGTTCCAAGATTTTTCGCGGATACCTGAAACCGCGAAATATAGTAGGAAACGCTAATATATTAGTACATACTTGTCGTAAAATTTGATTAATTTATCAGGTGTAATTAAACATTTTATTAGTTTTTTAGGTTAGGCGTAATTAGTTTGGCCATTGACTTGGGAAGAGAATGATAGTTTGGCCCTAGAATCAGGAAAGGTTGCCCACGCTTGAAGTAAGTAGGTGATGCGGTGTTATACTGTTATTGATGTTGAAGGATCACCTGCTTTGAGTGATGAATTCAAGAATTTCAAAATTTTCTGTTTAATTTTTTCGGATCACGGCCAACCACTAATTTCGTTAGTTTAGTCGTTCTATAGATTGTGACGATTAATATTACTTTTACCAAACTTTACATGAAAAATTCAATGTTACGTATTTAATTACTACTACTTATCATTCCTTCTCTATTTTTCTGATTTATCCTTTAACGTGGTATTTGTGCTAATCGAAGGAAAAATCGGGGTGTAAAGCGCACTATCATTTTTCATTTTATTTCGTAGATCTAGTAGTTGCATAAAACTCTAGGAATTGCATATCTCTGGGAGACTGATAAGATGAAAGGGAACGCGCCGAATAATGCTAACTAACAGAAAGATAAAGAAAAGAAATGAAAAAACAAAGTGCGGAAAAGTGAATATTCTTGCATTTTACAGAAGAATTTGTTAATTGAATTAAATCATGTTACGATAAGATATAATGTGCAATTAAGATAAGTTACGCTAAAAGAAACAACAAAAAAAAAACATACTTACAAGTAGATCAGCAATCGCTAGATGCATCAACATCGTGTGTATCCTTGATTTGGATGCACGCTTACGACATACAATTAATAGAACCGTCGTGTTCCCAATAGCAGACACCACCAATAAAATGCTATAGACGACGATACTAACAACATGGCCCGCGTTGAAACACATGTCAATTTCAGACCCCGCGTGGTAGGTGGCGTTCACCCGTGAACAATTGGGTAATCCCGAGGACGAGTCTATTTTCGTATTGTTCCCCATCATGGTGTGTCTTATAGGGATTTTTAGAGAAGCTACATTGGCAGACGGATTAATTTTTCACTGATTATTAGGGTCATCCCGTAAGTTTGTGACGAAAGTGAAAAATGTTTTAACGAAGATCCAAGGAATTATTATAGCGACTACATAATGATTTCACAAAAATAAACAAAAAATTGGATAAAGTTGTGGAATGTGAAGGAGATCCAAGGTATTATTATAGCGACTACATAATGGTTTT